CGAGAACAGGAAACACATGAACACACTCAGGGCCCAATGCTGCCTCGAACCTGCTCACAGACATGGCCATCCCTTGAAATGCGGCTTCCGACTACACCTCCAGTTCACCCCGGTCTGCAAGTTGGTCATCTTTCCAGATCCTTCTTTCCCATGTTTGGGAAGCAATGGACACTGCTGCCCTAAGCCCCAATGTCTGTAATGTACCAGGCATTCACATGCTCTCATTGGACCCATGGTGGACCTGCCAGGTGCCACACCCCTACATGGGACAAGAGCAGGATCTCTTGATAATTAGTTTGAAGAAAATATATGACTCCAAAAGGATGGTCCACTGTCAGAACCATATTACACGACTATGTAAATGTAGTATAATAAACACCATGCCACATGAAGACATCAGATCTCTCTCCTGGAAATGAAATTCACTGCAGACTTGACCATACAAATCCCACCAGCAGCAGCAGGGATCAGCACAGCACTCCTGCCAGGAAGTGCTTTCACAGAAGCTCTGCCCTCAGCAACACAAACAAGGGAGCGATACCCATCTTAGAAGCAGAAACGAGAAAGCCTGTGATAAACATGACCATATTATAGAAACAGAAGTGGGCAGGGGCTCGACAGCCCTGGCATCAGGAAGGAAGTATCCCTGCCAACAGCTCCTGAATGATGCTTAACTGTAAGGATTTTGAGTGTTGTTACTTAACCAGCCTGAAATTAAACAGCAGTTAGACCTACTGAGTAAGAATTTAACTTGAAGCTCATAAAATAGTGGATCTATGAACTCAAAAAGACATGTAATTTTGTGTATATGATGTCATTTTACATAATTTTTAAATTACATCAATACATAAATTTCTTTTTGCACTTCTATAATTCAGGAGGATTTTCTGTTCCCCAGAGTTGAGATAACTACTCAACACCTTTTGCCCCAAAAAACTTGCATGAGCTTGGTGTTGTCAGTCTCGAGTAAATGAAACGCCAGCACTTACACCAGGACTGGAAGCCTGGAGTAGCCCCTGGAGCATTACGGAGGGAAGATTCTGAGGCTGTGTCAGGCTAAAGGGGAAAGAGCCCTTGACACTCAGGGCCTACCCTCTTGTTGGCATGAGAGACCGGGGGAGGGGAAGGGAAAGTGGAGAGGCAGTCAAACAGAGAGTGAGACTGAGGTGATGGGGGGGGTGGGGGTGGGGGGAGAAGGTGAGAGATGGGACCACAGGGCTCCTGCCTTCTGCACTGCTGTATGTCAGCCCTATCAGTGGCATCGAGTTGAGTGGGGTGTTTTGTGTCTGTGAAACCTCATTCTGTTTCACAAGTACTTGGTCAACTTAGAAAACAAAGTTGTTATGAGCAGGATAACTTAACAGGAACAAGAACTGGATAGATGATAAAATAACAAGGAAAGGATTAGCTAAACAGATGTTTAACAGAAATAGGCAGCTTCTTATGAACACGTACTGTTTATTTAAATCAGGAAGCAGAGTTTCTTTAGAAAAGAAAAAGGTGTTGGGTTTTCTTAGTCACCATCGGCATCAGTTTTGCCTTTATTTAAGTTCTGTCTTTAACTGGAGGTCGCACAAAAGTGACCAACAATGAGAATCAGGTGGAGATTTTCTAGGCAAAAAAATACAGGTGACTAATTAAATTATTATTTACTAGTGGCCCGGTGCATAAAATTCATGCATGGAGGAGGGGGAGGTTCCCTCAGCCCAGCCTGCGCCTTCCCACAATCTGGGACCACTGGCTCTTAACCGCTCACCTGTCTGCCTGCCTGATAGCCCCTAACTGCCTCTGCCTGCCTGCCTTATTGCCCCTAACCCCTTCTGCCTGCCTGATCACCCCCTAACTGCCTCTGCCTTCCTACTTGATTACCCCTAACTGCCCTTCCCTGCTGGCCTGATCTCGCCCCCAAATGCCTGTGCCTGCCTGATCACCCCTAACTGCCCTCCCCTGCCAGCCTGATCGCCCCTAACTGCCTCTACCTCGGCTCCCACCACCATGGCTTTGTCTGGAAGGAAGTCAGTCAACCCAGTCTAGTTACATATTACCCTTTTATTAGTATTATAGATAGATTGATTATATAGGATAGGATTGCTTAAATGGGGGGGGGGGGCTTTTTCAGAAGGAGGAGATGCTTTTGGCAGACAAAAAAAAATAATCCCACTTTTA